TAGAATTATCTTATTTAAACATTGTAGTCATTCCCTGGAGATTTTCAATTGAAATTATGTATTAGTTCATGCCTTGGTTGACCTTATTAGCCTAAGCTACCTTGAGGATCAATCTTCAAATCTGAATTGAAAAGGCTTACATTTTAAGAGACTTATCTATTTTTTGTTCCACATTAATAGAATTGTGACTCATATATGCTCTTGCTAAATCCTAAATAGTATGAGGGTAAGCAAAGTACCTTTAAGTGCAAGTAGCCAAGAACCCCTAAATGTACAATATCATGGCAGCCATTATAGAAATGGCTACAGTCCCCTACTTATGAACAGATTGTGTTCTAAGAGGCTATTACTAAGTGCCTTTTTCATGAGTCCATCCAAGTATTAAAAAATGTTATGTTACATCTCTTCACCTGATCAATTGCAAATTAACCCTAACCCCTTAATAAGTAGCAGTGAGCATCTCAGCTTTCTCTCACTGCTCACTTACTTGCTTAGACTTCAGCCACTGAGGCAAAGACAGGCCAGTCATCCCACAGGCCACTGGGACCTTCACTTGGAAAGGGTCTGCCAGCAAGATAATCAGTACAACCCACGAGAGGGCGAGATGTACACTGTTTGGTCTTGATCATATAAACAACGCAGTTTCATTCTCCACAGGGAAAAGCAGGAGCAAATTTGGTGGGAACTTCCCAGCAGTGGGAGACTCCCAGCTTCAATGCCCATTCTCATGCTACCCCATTTCCCTGCCATTAAATCTCTCCAAGCATGTACATGGGTCAATAGTTCTTCTCTGATAGAACCCCCTCCTGTGTCAGCATTCAGGTGGAAACAACTTTTTAGTGCCTCAGCAATTCTCTTCTCTCCTGGGGTGTTTAGGCCGTTTCAGGCATGTTCATGTCCGTTTCTGCTCCACTCAGTCAAGGCTCAGTGGAGCCTACCAAACATGCTCCTGGCTAAGGGTGTGTGGTACTGCCATCTTCATGATGGGAGGCTCACAGCATGCATAAACTACAGTAGCCTATTTTCTACCAATAGAACCTTTTAGGCAGGAGTCAGGGACAGGTTTGTCTATATGGGTAAAGGTTTGTCACTCTAAAGTTCATAAATAAGGGAATGTCTATATTTCTTTTGGTAATTAAATAACAAAGAATGTAAAGCAATAATAATGGACGCAAACATATTTTTTTGAATCCTTAAAAGAAATTTCATTGTTTTAATGTTAAACCCATTAAAAGCAGAAATCAAGTTAATAGTTGGGCAGTTGGATAATTATAGAACCTGATTTTAGACTGTTTTCAAACCTAATATACTGTAATCCCAAGTGTAACCTCTGTGCTAGAAGACACTAAGTAAACATTTATCTTTTGAAAAAAAGGTGTCTTATCTTTTTGGGGATGGAAAGAGGACAAGAAAATATAGATGAGTTAATCTAACATTACAACTTTCTGGAAAATTAAATTGGCTTATTTATCTAAAGTAACAACAAATACATGTACAATGTGGGATTCAGTAGACACTGCTTATAACTTTCAAAAATAATTCTGAGCAAACTCTATAGGATGAGGTATTTTAATAGAATTATCAAAGCACAAAAAATGTTTCAATGAAGAGACAAGCTTTACAATGACTAATCGTAAATAGTGTTTCCAAAGGGTAGTATTTTTAACTTAAATTATATGGAGTTAGAAGTATCCAATGAAGTGACAAATATAATTATTAAATTATATTAAATAAATTATATTAAATTAAATAAAAGAGTTGCAGATTGCTGCAAGCATTAGGGGCAGGGATTAAATTAACACGATTCGGTGTAAAACATGTAATAAATTCAGATTTTGGTTAAAAAAAAACTCTAATCAATATTGGATTGGATCCAATATGGGCATTGATTAGGAAAGGGGTTGTGAATAGCTTCCATCTGGATATTATAACCAAAAACTTTGAAAATGCCCATCTCCCTCATAGTGTCACTCTAGGCAGTGTACAAATAAAATATTAAAACATAACAGTACATAAAATGTAAAAGAGGCAAGTATGAATGTTAAAAATTAATTTAAATGTGGGGAAGGCTTTCAGGGTGCTAGCCAGCCCTATGGCTGCATGCTGCTCTGCGTACCCCAAGCAAGGCCAGGGTTATCTTTCTGAAAGGTCAGGAGTGGGACCTGCCTCACCTCTGTCCACCTTTATCATACATTCTCTTACTTGTTCTTCTGTTTCAAATTTCAATAAATGTTTATGCATTTTAGTAATTACATGTTCATATTTGTACATAATTCTATTTTAAATTAAGTATTAGTATTCAAAATCATATTTTTGTCTACTTTTCTAATAAATGTAAATAAAAATCACTGACAATTATATCCTTCTGTCATCAGTTCTTCTTTTGGTTTTATTTTAGAATTGACAAAACTTTAGTATCTTGCATTCAATTAACCATTTGTTTTTGCCTATTATTTCTCATCAATAAAATGTTTTTTGTGCTGCTATCCATAGAAGTTGGGCACAACCTCGCTTTTTATCTATTCCGTACTACCTCTCATACTTCTGAACAGATTACTCAAGATGGATGGTGAGCGTTTCAGGACAGTAATAAAATATTTCCTTTCTAATAATAATTACCAATTTGGAAAGATTTAAAGATTAAAATACATTGATTAAAGATAAATGTTACACAGCTGCTGAAAAAGAGATGAACAATTCAAATATAATTGTTCCCCGTTTTAGGTCAATGGTCTTCAAAAGTACAATTCCAAGTAAGAATATTTTAAAAATTTAAAAATCAATTCTTTGAGCAAGATTTTTATTACAATTTTGCTTTCTGTCATGTTTATAAATATGTTTGTTCTTTGCAAGGAATTTAGAATTTGACATGGTTAGCAGTGCTTTGCATTGTGGAGGCAACATTAGTAACCTTACTGAGGCATTTTGTGTTTGTTCTAGCTGAGTGGGGGTGGAGGGACCTACTGAATACAAAGCAAAGGTAGGATAGTAGGGGTAATGTTACTTCATAAAACAGCTTTGAAGGTCTATTTTCCCCCCAAAGCACCATGAAAATGAAATACCCCTTTGAAGTTTATACAGGTCTAATAAATCTAAATATGTTGATAAAAACTGACACCTTGGTAAATTACATGTATATGAGGAACACAAAGAGTTCACCTACACTACTGGTAAATAAATCATTACCTTCTTTCAGATGTAAAATGTATTTTAAAAAATAACTCAGTACATAAAAGTTCTGAGCCTTCTTCCTCAGGCAGTTTGGCGTTCTACCCTAAAACAACTTCTCTCACACAATTATCCTCCATTGAGTTTGTTTATTGGAGTTTCACAAAGCAGATAAAAGGGTTAAATGGCTTTTATAGCTCAGACATGGCAATATGTTATCAGTGAACACTTTGAAATGCAGGGTGTTATCCTTGGAGTTGTGTAACTTATCCTCAAGTAGTTTGATCGCACAAAGAGGAATGTTGACTTTCAACATCTAAAATTGGTAATTCTTCAGTTATTTCATTCTCAATCTGATGAGGTCTTTGCTGCCTGTGCTCGCATGATTTCAGCCTCTGTTTCTACTTCATTCAGCAAGACATCTTGGGAGAAAGCATACATGGTGTAGACATCTGCACATGACAGCTGAGGAAAATTACAGTATGCATGCTAGTAGCCTCTACTAAATAAATCTGTCATTTCCACCACCAATCAAGTGGTATTGCACCATGACACTATCTCTGCCCTAAACTGGATGCAAAGAAAAAATCTAGAGAAAGTAAGAAAGATAATACCATTTGCATTTCAAAATTTACCTTTCTGAGAAAAAAAAGTTAATCTTGATGTCAGATATGCTTTAACAAAGAAATTCATCAACCTGGGGGGGAGGGGGAGAGAGATCCAACCAGTTTGGATGAATCACCCAAAACAGTATTAGGTATTCTGTATGAACAAATGATGGACTCCCATATTCTGGAGAAAGGTCCACTAAAATGTAGTTAAATACATGCTTACATTTCAAAACCCTTCTTATACCCTTGAAGAGTCAAAAAATATCTCAATACCTGCAAATTCTAGCTCAAAACTCTTAGCCATCCGGATCCAGGAAATAGGCTGGGATGTAGCTAGGAGCAATGCATTTTGCTTCCCTATAGCCTAGGAGCCAAAGCATACAAGGAAACTAACTCCCTGCTTCATGCAACTCACTGTGAAAATTTATAGTACTATCTGTGGCGTTTCCCAAAGTTGTTAGATTTCAGTTTCCAAGATGGTGTAGTGGATAAGCTTTGGCTTATGAGAAAAAGAAACTCAGGATTCATTGGACCAGGGCATTCGAAGAGTAATTGTCAGCCAGTCATTTCTTGCGTTTTTGTAACTGCAAGAATAAAACTAGGGCAAAACAGAAGAACGCGACGATATTCTTCTCCCCTCCTAAAATAAGGGAGAGAACTAGAACAAGCAACAATCCATTTCTAGGAGATCTGCAGTCTCAACCTTCTGCTTGCCATGCAAGAGGTCTGAATTTCCGCCCTCGCCCCCGATTTTAAACCAGCGCAAGACGCGCAAGAACCCAGCCAACTGAAGGTTATTGAAGCCCAAGGGCGCAAACAACGGAACTGGCCCAAGGCACGCTTTTCCCTTTCGGACAGCCATGACGCTCAGATTACCAAAGGATACAGACTCCTGCGGCGGCAACTCCTAGGCCGAGCGCTAAGGCGTTGTTGCGAGTGTTCATCCCTCGCCGAACCATCCCCATGCCCGGCCCTGGATTAAATCCAACGGGTGCCATCCTTTGCGGTTTGGCATTCACTGGCGGCACGCGCGAAAACTCTCCTCCTCGTTGCGGCGCCGACATCTTTCCCAGGACCTTGGCAAGAAAGTAGGTATCAAGTCCCGGAAGAAAAATCCAGTGACGACCGCGCGGCCATCTTTGGTGAGGGCTGTGACCTACGCTAGTCACGACGTCAGCCATTTTTTTTAAAAAAACAACAACACCCGACTGTTACGGCTGAAGGTCATGCTCTTTTTTTGCCATCTTTGGTGAGGGCAAACGCTAATTAAAAGGGGTGGAGTCACATATATTTTGAGCTGACCGTTTACGGCACGATGATAGGTGAGGATTTCCTCAAATTAATTATGTATCTTTTTTCTGCCCTTCAAAGTGAAGACTAAAAACTTGGAGAAGCACAGTTTTTCTTTCCTTGGCTAGGTACTTAATTTACTCAATATATTCACACATGTTCTAATTGAATTTAATATGTGCTATTGCAATTTAATGGCACAACTCTGAATGTATTTCATGTTGTCCCCTTAAACAAAGCCAGACTTTTTAAATAAGGTTGCTGTTAATTTTTTAAAGGTAGGCTTATATGAAATATATTACTAGCCATATCATGAATGTATCTACTGCTTTAGTACTTGAGGTGCCCTTTTCTTCTCTCTCACCCACAATTAATCTTCAGTCAGAGATGCATTTAGGAGGATTCTCTACAGGAGCTTAAAGAAAGCACAATTTTATATCAGACTAATTTAATCTTTTAATTTCTAAATTACTTTCTTGGGACTTCCCCTTTCATAAAGTTTATATTGAATTGTATTTATTTTTGATGCTTTAGTGGCATTTCAATACTGTTGAATCTAGGCAGTTTACACGAACAGCATTAACATGTAAAACATCAATAGATAATATCTTAATATGATAGATGCCACTATACCCTGTTTTAACCATCATTACCACCTCTTTGTAGACTGTAGTTCAGCATTCAATACCATCATTCCAGACATTCTTCTAACTAAGCTAAACCAGCTAGCGGTACCTGAACACACTTGTAAGTGGATCATAAGCTTCCTAACAGACAGGAAGCAGCAGGTGAAGTTAGGCAAAATCACATCAGATACCTGTACAATTAGCACAGCCCTCTCCCCCAAAGGTTGTGTGTTCTCTCCACTTCTCTCTATATACCAATGACTGCATCTCAAAGGATCCATCTGTTAAACTAGTGAAGTTCGCAGATGACACAACAGTGATCTGTCTCATTTGAGACAATGATGAATCCACATATAGATGGGAGGTTGAATAACTAGCCTTGTGGTGCGACCGGAACAATCTGGAACTGAACACACTCAAAACCGTAGAAATGGCGGTAGACTTTAGATATACTTCCACCTCTTACAATACTAGACAACACAGTATCAGCAGTAAGAGACCTTCAAATTTCTAGGTTCTACCATATCGCAAGATCTAAAATGGACACCTAACATCAAAAACATCATCAAAAAAGCACAACAAAGAATGTTCTTTCTGCGCCAACTCAGAAAGCTCAAACTGCCCAAAGAGCTGCCGATACAGTTCTACAGAAGAATTATTGAGTCTGTCATCTGCACCTCTATAACTGTCTGGTTTTGTTCTTCAACCCAACAAGACAGACACAGACTTCAGAGGATAATTAGAACTGCAGAAAAAACAATTACTACCAACCTGCCTTCCATTGAGGACCTGTATACTGCAAAGTCAAAAAGAGGGCTGTGAAAATATTTACAGAACCCTCACATCCTGGACATAAACTGTTTCAACTCCTACCCTCAAAACGATGCTACAGAGCACTGCACACCAGAATAACTAGACACAAGAATAGTTTTTTCCCGAACGCCATCACTCTGCTAAAAAATAATTCCTCAACACTGTCAAACCATTTACTTAGTCTGCACTGCTATTAATCCTGTCATCGTTCCTATCACCCATCTCCTCCCACTTATGACTATGACTGTAACCTTTTTGCTGGTATCCTTACGATTTATATTGACTGTTTCTTAATATGATTTGATTGCTTATTTGTACCCTATGACTATCAGTAAGTGTTGTGCTTTGTGATTCTTGACGAATGTATCTTTTCTTTTATGTACACTGAGAGCATATGCACCAAGACAAATTCCTTGTGTGTCCAATCACATTCGGCCAATAAAGAATTCTGTTCTGTTCTGTTCTATTCCTTATTAATAGAAACAGTTGGAATGAACTGTTGGAAGAAATCAATTATTGTAGTTTAATGATAAATTATTATTTTTTCAGAGTAGTAACAATACTTTTAGAATGGGCTTACCTGCACAGGTATCAGCCCGATACCAGTATTCAGAACCTATCTTTGGAGTAATGACCCCTGGAATTATCCAAGATACTTTGCTTCACATGGCTGTAGAGAATGAGCGGTATTTGAGTGAACTGTGTGGTGAGGCAGGCTGTTTCAAAGACACACGGATAGTAGGTAAGAATTGGCCTTAACAAGTTCTCTAAACCGAGATGAAATTCTGAAAGACATTTTAGAAAAGCCTCTAACTATGATCATTTCCCCTTGTGTCTCTGCCAGAATTTGTTTTTCTTTTAGCTGGGAAGTGGAACCTAACTGAATCAGCCACATATCAAGCAATAGAAATATTTGAAAGGTATTTCTTTATTTTCTCTTTGACTGTTGATATTAGGATAGAACCATTAATTTATATGTTTACCACAGATTAAACAATATTAATTTTGTGGGATTTACCTCTAAGTAGATGTGCTTAAAGTTTCAGTTTTATTTCCTGTAACTTATACCCTTTATCGTATAAAAGGTTACAGCAGCCAAATCATAGCTTTAACCTATAAATATATAAACTAAAATGTATATGCTTCCTTTTTAAAGCCTCAAAAGATTGTTTGGGGGGAATACTTTAGCCACAGTTACAAATCAAAAGGTATTTAATGACAAGCCTGCTTTGAGTAGTAAAAGCCCAAAATCTATCAGAGGGGGAATTTGTGGACACCACTACAAATGCATTCAATCTACAAATATAATATCAGATACAATTTAGATACCAGGGTTGTTTTTCTTCCTTGCATGCTTCTTTCCCATCTCTTGTTTTTATAAAACTTTGCCTGAGACCAAGTCTGGAATATTTAAATTGCATTTTTGTGCCACTTTAGTTATCCCAGTTAATATCCAATTGTGAATATACTGCACCAAATGGACAATTTGATTCTTGGGGGGGCTGGTGAAGGTCCTAAAGCTTACTGTGGCTGTTTCATACATTGATTCATGACTCTTTGGAATAGCTTTCACTCTGTAAAATCAAGTGTAGTTACATGGTTTTGATATTTGTTTCTGTAAACTATAAAGCAAATTTCAAGTAAGTATCTGCTCTTTTCTTTAGATATCTTATCAATGCTTTTGCATTTTAGGTATATGCTCAAACGTTTAGAAGAGTTCTCTAATTTGACTCTAGGAAAGGAAGAAGACAGCAATTGGGCCTCGCTGAAAGTACAAATAGAAGACACATATATGTTGCGTTTAGTCTCTTGCATTCAGCTTGCCAGCAAGCTTTCTTTCCATTACAAAGTAAGGAGATTCAAGATTTGCCTTGAGCAATACAGTATTATATAACTTTCATACAAGTTTTGTTTCTGAGATATCTTGTGGACTTTCCAATGACAGAAACAGGACTGTTAAATGCATGTGTGCATTTGGGAAAAATATAATTATTTCTCACTAGACAATCTGATCAGAGGAATGAAAATAATGTTATAAACTGCTAAGCAATGGTGTCTTCATAAATAGCTTGGGTTAATGATTAGTACTGAAAGAGATGTATGACTATATGGAGTTGGCTTTCACAATGATGAACTATCAAATATGAAGGAGATGGGATGGTTAAGAAATTTGATATATAAATAAACTATTAGCAGTAGAAACAAAATTAATTGTTAATTGGGCAGCGTTTTAATATCATTATGATTCATGGGTTAAAAACAGCAACATATACAACACAACCCATTCCAATAAAACATAGTACACTATGGCGAAGTAAAATTGGCATTTTGGATGTAATGTTCTTACTTCTTTTACACAGATCGTTAATAACAAAATGGTTCTGAAGTTTCTGAAGTCTTTAGGTTTCTCGTACACTACAGAAGAATTATTAGAATCAGAACTAGCTATTTTGAAGGCTTTGCACTTTCAAGTCAATGTTCCAGTTCCACTTGCCTATGTTGAAGTTCTCCTAGAAGTTTTAGGTAAACCCAGGAAACATATACTGTAATCTATGAAACAGCTTTGCCCTGCTAGTAAAAAACTAGTAGTGATTCTGATTTGTCTATCCCTCTTACCGGTAGCTGAGCAGCTACTTAAATTGGTAAATCTCTTTATTTCCAGGCTCTGCAGCAGGTGTCAGCACTTAGCCAACTTTTGCTACTCTTAAAAAAAATCTCCAAGTTACATCTTAGAGCAGTGATGGATAATTTTATTCTCTTTGTGTGCCAAAAGGGTGCGATGCCACATATGACAGTGCGCTCACAGGTCGGCACCCATAATGCAATGCGCATGCCCGCATGTCCGCACGACCCCTCTGTGCATGTGCACCCAATCCCCATGCTCCTTCACCACCGTGCATTAAAATTTTGGTGGCCCTGGCCATAGTGGGTGTGGCCTACTCGGCCTCCTGCACCATGGGGGGGCATTTTCACTCTCCCCAGGCTCTGGAGGCTTTCCTCGATCCTCCAGGAGGACGAAAATGGTCTCCCCCGGGCTCCAGAGGCCTTTCCGCTACTTCCAGTAGGCCCATTTTTCACCCTCCCAGAGCTTCTGCGCAGGCCCTGCACTTACCTGGCATCCAAAACGGGCTGCATGGAAAATCCTGGGAGGGGCGGGCGGGGTGAGAGAGGCCAGCCAGTCCTTGCAACTACAGGTTCGGCGAACCAGATGTAAAATTAGCATCCGGTTGGCCCGAATCAGCGACCCCTCCCACCCCCCATTTTGGTCCTAGTAGGCCTTCCTGCAGCCCCCTGGGCCCAAAAACAGGCCATGGGGGGGTGCTGCACCCCCCACACGTGTGCGTGACGCCCCACATATGCATGCACATTTCCCGCATGTGTCCCTCTCCAAGCATCCTAAAAATCAGCTGGCTGGCAGGCGCGTGTGCACAATGGAACTAGCTGGGTGACAGCTTACGTGCCCACCAAGAGGGTTCTGCATGCCAGTTGTGGCACCCATGTCATAGGTTTTCCATCACGATCCTAGAGCAGTAGGATAAAGTGACAATTTACAGAACATCTCAGGGGAAGGCAGTGGCCACACATTTTCTTCTTGTTGCCAATGAACTACAGGGACATGTCCCTGTTGTTCTTGGGAATCCTATTATTTGTTTTTTGTGTGGTTTTTTTTGCTTCTGGTGGTTAGAAAACTAAATGTTTCAATAAAATGGGCTGTGGATCAGTGATTATTCTCAATCTTCATCATGGACATCACAGATATAGTGAAGTTGTATGTGTTCTTATAATATGAGAGCCAATTTGATGTAGTGGTTAAGGCACAAGGCTAGAAACCAGGAAATGGTGAGTTCTTATCCTGCCTTGGGCATGGAGTAGCTAAATGGAAAGTATTGAAACAGACAGAAACAAGAGGGGGAGGGGAAGCAAATTTATCCATGGCTCACAGATAGTAAAATTAATAGAAACCCACTCCCTTTCCTATAGTATCTAATTCTTGGGCTTTTCCCTCACAATACTAGGATACAATGGCTATTTACTTCCCACAAAAGAGCTGCATGAAATGTGCAAACATTTATTGAGTTTATCATATCTGTTGCGGAACAATATTTATGATACCTTGCTGAAGTCTTCAATAGAAAACTCGTCACCAAGTGAACTTCAACTGTAAGTTTCTGAAAGAAGCAAGCTAGCAATAAGTTTGTGCCATAAAGGGAAATCAAAACTTGAGAGTTGTGTATATTGAAGTAGCACAAATGGAAAGTGAACTTTATAGACCAAGAAAATCTGGGTTACTTTTCCACTAGCAAATTTTAACAGATATGTTTGTAAACAATGCTCTCCTGATAGAATCTAGCTTCAGTGTGCCAACATCATCCTGATTTTTATTTGGGTCATATAAATCTTTCCTTCTGCAGAATGTTTAAATATGGGCAATTCTCAGCCTAAGGCAATTTTTTACTTGGATGGGACAGTTTTGAACCTTAAATGTACCTAAATATTCCCTATGTAAGTTACTGGGATATGAATTGGAGGACTTAATGGGAAGACATAATTAGAATTACTTTGTTTTAGACCACTGGGATGAGCTATTGTTGCCTAAAATTAAAGCTGCAGAATTGAAAACTGGGCTGCACAAAGAAGCGAAGCCCCATCCACAGGACGCAGGCAGCATGCGAAACCATGCCCCTTCCGGTCCACAGAAAAACCTTTCTCCGTAGAACCAGTCCCTGGTGCCCAAAAGGTTGGCGGTTCCTGCATTAGTGAACTTTTAGATAGAAACTGTTTCATTTTGGATCCTTTAACTTGCCTTTTAACATTTCAAATAACCTTTTTGAATCTGCGTTTTTTTAATTACAGAAAAGTTTCATTGATTTCACAAATTTTGCATGTTTTCTTAGGAAATCCTTTGGTTTCCAAATGTTACATTTCCAATACTTTAGCACAATATACTGAAATTGAAAAAAAAAATCCTACGTTAATAGGGTTGTTGGCATTTTGCTATACAATTATACACAGCATTAAATTTTGTTAATATTTAGTTTTTGGAGATGAAAACATTAAATTCACCTCTTCATTGTTACCTTCCAGCAAAATACAGCCCTACTCAGTACTGTTGTCTAATATATTCAATGTAACAGCAGAAATGCAGAAGAAAATATACTTTTTATTGTATAGATACTCAAAGCAATACTGGGCTCCACTGAACACAATGTATTTGTGAGAAATGTGCTATTTAAATACTTTAATGATGTTTTAGGCATTCTAGCCATTATAAGCATAAGTCTTTAAAACCTATCTTTTAATTCAAAAGATGAGTGAATGTAACAGGGAAATGCTTTAAAAATGATCAACTATTTAATCATATTGGTTTAATATGGCTAAATACCTGTTTCCCCGAAAATAAGACTGGATCTTATTTTCTTTTGGGCCCCAAAATAAACTAGGGCTTATTTTTGAGGGTGTCTTATTTTTTTCTCCATCTACAGGAGGCCCATTTCTGCTTGCTCATGATGCGGCAGGAGGCCGTGTGGTGCACCAGTGTCACTCTGAGGCGGGGGGTTGGAGCTGCCTCACATGTCCCACACCAGCTTACCTCAGGGCCCCCCCAGCCAGGCCATCCATACCCCAATATCTGCCTTGCCTCACAGCGCAGCCCCATCCAGCAGGACATCACATGGCTGCCAATCCACTTCTGCTTGCTTGTGGCCACAACGGAGCAGGAGGCTAAGTGATGTGCTAATGCCATGGCCACAAGGTGAGGCAGAGGGTGGAGCTGCCCCATGCGCCCTCGACCGGCTTACCTCAGGGGCCCCAAAGCCAGACCATCCACGCCCTGACACCTGCCTCGCCTCGCGGCATGAGCACACCACTTGGTCTCCTGCTGTATTGCAGCTGCAAACAGAAGTGGGCTGTTGGCCACGTGGGCTCCTGCTGCACACAGCTCTTTGTGCTGCCACTGCGAGGCAGATGTCAGAGCATGGATGGCCTAGCTTTGGGAGCCCTGAGTAAGGGTGCAATTTACTTACCTTCGCTACCGGTTTGCAAATGTGAGCGCACACGCTCACTACGCTCATGCGTGCCCCCTCCACCAATGCACAGAGCCTTCTGTGCATGCGCAGAGGGTCAAAAACGCAGAGTCCACCACCACCCCACCTCACCTCATGGCTGTGGCACCGTGAGCAACCAGATGGCATGGTCAGTCAGCCAACTGCGCAGGCTCTTAAGCAGGGCTTATTTTGGGGGGTAGGTCTTATATTAGGCGCATGCATAAAAAACATGCTGGAGCTTATTTTGGGATAGGTGCTATTTTGGGGAAAACAGGGTAGGTTTGTACTTTCAAACGTACATCATTATTACTATTGCTGGAATACAGTCCGTGTTCATTTTGTCATTTCAATTTCATAGAGCAAAATTTGCATCTGTAAAGGAAGACCTCATGCTACTAGCTGTAGGAGTAATTGGTGCAAGTTCTTTCCTGCTAAACCATGAAGACTGGAATCAGGTACATACATCTTATCATTTAGTCCAGGTGGGTGGGCGGAGCCTCCCACTGCCAGCGCTACCAGTTCACCTGAGCCAGATAAAACCGGCTCAATTTCACCATTGGCCCTGAGGTAAGCTCAACCACCACCCCACCTCACTTCATGGCTGTGGCATTGTGAGCAACCAGATGGAATGGTCAGCCAGCAACTCCGCAGGCTCTTAAGCAGGGCTTATTTTGAGGGTAGGGTTTATATTAGGCGCATGCGTAAAAAACATGCTGGAGATATTTTTTTCCTCTTACATGTGGCTTGCTACCCATAAGAATCCTAGTTCTATAGGATATAGTGTATCCATCTAAAGCTTTTTTTCCCTCTCTTGAAAGGTTGTGGACTACCTCAATAGCACCACAGGCATCAGTCTGCAGAGCATTACTGAGGCAGTCTATGCAATTCTGAAGCACAGTCTAGGTAATATTGTGAATGGTTGTTAGAAACCCTTCATTTTTCTGAAGTTGAAGAACCTGCTTATCAAGAAATGTACTATAGTATTTGACATAGGCATGGGATTGTAAGCAGATAACTACTAAAAAGGCACTGCACATCCTCATAAACTTCAATAGTTTAATGGATATCACACAGTTTTTGTTATCTTAATCTTTTAAGAGGGAAGATTTAAAGAAAGGTATTTTGTCCGTGGCTAGGGCATCAAAACCATTTACAGCAGTCTTGCATAACCATTACAACACAAATAATTATAGCAAGTTTAAGACAAATATTAGATGTATGGATTATGATGATAAATATTACATGTAAAAGCAGAAGCTTTAGCATAAACAAGTAAATGTATCTGACAAAAAAATACATTAATGTGTTCCTCTCTCTAGAACTGATAAACTGTTCTGAAAAAAAAGTGTATTTATTTTGTATTTCTAGTTTAGTGCAATAATGAAGCTGCAATAACCTCCTAACCAAGCCTCTACCACAAATATTGTCTCCTTTTTCTGTCCTATCAGAGAAAATACATGATTCTTTTTCTAAACTCAGTTGTATACTTTATCTACATGTTATCTAAGCTATGCTATGAAGCTTTTTGCTTCATTCCATTTTATAATGTAATATCAAGTTTGCAGATTTTTCTTCTTCTAAAATAATGTATGGCTGTCAGTGTCCCAAGTCCTACTTTTGGCATCATTGCATCATGCTGAATTCTTTCTCCTTCATAATTGTCATTTATTATAGAATTGCGAAGAAACCCAAGCTAGACCCCATTTCAGATTTGTCAGCATGAACTTGAGTGCTTTTGTCCACTGTTCCTCTGAGTTAAACTGGGTTTTAATGGAGTAGGAACCACCATTTCCACCTGTATCTTCAATCTTGCCCTTTTCCACGTCCATTCTGTATTGGAGAAACAGATCCTATTAGGCGCTGAAAATGCTGACATTTGGTCTCAGATTAGCACTACATTATTTTTAATAAATCCCAGTTCCCTGTTGTAATGCCCTGATTTATTAAACTTTAGACATAAGCTCTTGCTGAGAGAGAACTTCAGTTTTCTTTATTTGACATATTTTCAATAACCAAATGACAAAGCAGAGTCAACTAAAAAATACCAAGACCACTAAATGTGGTAGTTTATTATCAGTACTTTGAAGAACCACAATAATCTAGCTGTTGTTATACTGCGTTAAAATAGAAAGGCAAAACTTCTGTATACATGAGATACCTTGAAATTAATAGCATTTAATTCAATTATATAATAGTTTAGCAAGAGATATTTAATTTAGAATTTAAAAGTTTGTAAGAAAAGAAAACCTACTTTCTGCACCATTAACATTTACCTGTAAGGTAAACAGAAACGGGTCTCGCCCTTTTCTACTTCCTCTTTGAACTGTTGTACACAATCTAGAAATGCCACCATTGCATGGTCAAATTTATTGTCCCAGAAAAACCGTAAGCCTCCTGAACAGTAAAGAGGCAGCTCCTTGAAGACATAAATGTAAATATTAGAAACACAAGGAATTGTCCTACAGTTCTACATTATTATTAATGAAATGCCTACTTTTTACTCAATAACAAGCATTCATTGCAATTTAGGTAGCATGAATTTTCTTTGCTGTTTATTACTGCTCTTCTAAACTATCGTAAATCAAGGCTACAGGAAACAAGAAAATAAAATCTGTTTTACTCCTGTTTCTCTTAAACCCCAGTTTCTTTTTCAATTAGTATCTAGGGCATTTTAAAATGCAAATACCATATTTTTCAGACTATAAGACACTCTGGACTATAAGACGTACTTAGCTTTTGGGGAGGAAAAAGGGGGAGGGGGGGAAATCTGCCTCTGCCTCCCAGCAATTTGCCTCCTTGCAGCAAACAGCCTGGTCAGCTTCAGCACAGCCTATTTAGCACGAGCAGCTGATTGGTGGTTGGATCTGCCTCCCAGAATACCGCCTATCAGCTGTTCCAGGCTGCAGAGATTGCCACTGCCCGTCGCCACTGCTGCCTATCGCCGCCTCCGGGTGCCCCATTTTTGGCCTCCACGTGTCCCATTTTTGGCCTGTTCCAGGTGGCGGGGATAGGCAGTGGCAAATTGCTGGGAGGCAGAGGCCGAAGGGTGGGGGCCAGCACGTGGACAGGGCTTCGGCAACATTTGCTGTATAAGATACACAGACATTTCCTCCCACTTTTTTTGGGGGGTGGCGGAGTGTGTCTTATACACTAAAAAATATGGTAATTAGCAGGTCCTATAGGATCCAGGGTAAAAGAAGTGTAGAGAGATGATACTAAAACACACTTATTCACAGGGGTGGGGTTCAGCCAGTTTGGACCGGTTCCCGTGAACCGGATGCTAATTTTACATCTGGTTTGCCGAATTGGTAGTTGCAAGGACTGGCTGGACCCACTCACCCCAACCCTCCCAGTGTCTCCATGCAGTCTGTTTTGGATGCCAGGTAAGTGCAGGGCCCGCACGGAGGCTCTAGGAGGGTGACAAACGGGCCTCCTGGAAGTTCCAGAAGTCTGGACATGGGCCCATTTCCAGCCTCTGGAGCCCGGGGGAGGCCACTTTTGCCCTCCCAGAGGCTCGAGAAAAGCCTCCAGAGCCTGGAGAGGGCAAAAAACAGGCCTCCCGGAAGTTCATGGGCTCATTTCTGGCTTCCGGAGGGCCTCTGGAGCCCGGAAGAGGCCATTTTCACCATCCTGGAGGTTTGAGAAAAGCCTCTGGAGCCTAGGGAGGGTGAAAAACGGGCCTCCCAGAAGTTCCGGAAGTCTGGAAATGGACCCATTGGGAGTCTGTTTTCACTCTCCTGGAGGCTCAAGAAAAGCCTCCAGAGCCTGGGGAGGGCAAAAACACCCACCCCCCTGCCGTGGTGCAGGAGGCTGAGTAGGCCATGCCAACCATGGCCACGCTCACCTAGCAACTGGGCAGAGAACGGGTTGCTACAATTTTTGAATTCCCCCCGCTTATTCATACTGATGTTCCACACATGCAATACCATATTTAAGACGACTATATAAAATATCAAATTAAACAGTACAATTGTAAGAAGATAACATTCAAGGGCCTGGTGGCTCAGCAGACTGATAGCATTGTGATTAACACCAGCTATCTGCAATTACTGTAAGTTCAAATCTCACCAGGCTCAAGGTTGACTCAGCCTTCCATCCTTTCTAAGGTAGGTGAAATGAGGACCCAGATTGTGGGGGCAATAAACTGACTTTGTATAAATATACAAAAGTATGAAGGCTATTGCTTAACGCATTGTAAGCGTTAAGCCCTGAGTCTCCAGAGAAGGGCGGCATATAAATCAAATTTAAAAAAAAAAAACACATCCCTAAATACATATGCATTACAGTGCTCACATATTTAAGTTTTATTTAAGTTTATTATATTTGTTTATACTGCATAACCACAATGGCGTAATGATATTTCCAAAATATAAATTCAATTATCTTCATCTAAATATTTTATCATGCATGAATATTTCATTAAACTAAAAATGTTATCAGCTAAATCATTCTGTATTATATTAAGTTAGCATCCCATTTCCCATCAACAAATATATTTCATCATGTTTACAGTGGAGTAGTCAAACTATGTTTAAAAACTTTGGGCAACCTAGATATACATACATACATACATACATACATACATACATACATACATACATACATATTACAATTCAGCATATGGAGAATTGCTCAAAATGTTTTTCACCAAGTGTCTAAAGACTTGTTCTGAACTGATTAATCTCTTCTAAGTACAAACAGATACAGTACTCTAGAAATCCAAAATGCAGGTGTATGAAAGGGATTCTTGGAAACTAAAATCTCTTACCTTAGATTTGTCAGTAAGAGACTCTAAATAAGAGTGATTTCCATATGGAATAAGACGGTATCTGCAAGAAACAGCCACTTAAGAATAATTTGACTGAAAAGTATTGAATAGGTTTCTATACCAATAAACAAGTTAATTAATCTTGCCATTCCTATGGCTGACAAAAGGGAGGGGTGGCTCGTTGTCTCGGTATCTACCTTTGAAAGATCAGGCCCATCTTGTTGGCAAGGGCATGGAGAAGCAGAACAGTCTGCCCCCAGGCTGCATTGATCTCATTCCATTCCACAGGGACACTTGGGAGGCGGCCTAGACGAAAGTTGTTTATTGTGCCAAACTGCCCGCTATGCCTATGCAAGAAGAAATCTAATCAGCTAGCTTAATCTTACACACAGTACAAACAAGTCTTTTTAAGCAGGTTTTGGACAGTTATCCAAAATTAAAATAATTTTCCAAACATAAATATAAAAATCCACAGCTTTTATGAAAATCTGTCGGTAGCACAGGAAGTCAGTCTGGTATTACCCAGATTATTTAAAATCCAACTCTACTAGCTCCAGTCAGTTTGGCAAAGGAATATAAAACTTTAAAACAAGGATAGAAAGATCTTGGACAGGACCCCGTGTGAAATATTACTAATTAGTTATCATTAAAAAATACTATAGACAGTATCCTCCAAAAGGGGAATAACATTGATTAAAGAGCTTATTTATTCATGGTGAGTGACCTAAGACTCTCAAAGAAGGGTTGCTTCTTAGAAAGTGGAAAATAAGAATCCAACCATTAGTGAACACTGTAAAGTATAAACTGAAAACAGTATTCAGTTAGACTTCTGCAGCAAACTGAAACTGAAACTATTATACTCGCTCTAATGCTGACCAGAGTCTTCTGAAATTCTCAACTTTGCAGAGCCCAAATGATCAAATATGCTATTGTATGTACCAGTATGTTGCAACTTAAATGCATTTTCCTCCATCCAGATTCAACTACTGTTCTCCACTACATTTCTCCCATGCCAGTCTATCTCTTCTTACCAGATATGGAAGGTAGCATTGAATACGTTGGTTTTCTTTAACTTGTCCAGCTGCATTTGGGCATAACGCATTTGATTATCAACACTTTTCAGTTCATCATCCAGTTCTAGTTGCTGCCGCTTGAATTCACTGTATTCTTTTTGATACCTCCAGGAAACATCAAGAGAATGAGGTTAATTCTTTGGAGGACCTCCCTAAAACCTTTAAGGATTCAACGTGTAGAATAGTGCCAGATCCAAAAGAACAAATTTTAAGAGGGAAAAACGGATAGGCTTCAAAAATGTTCAGATGAATTAGAAATTAATTTCATGAAAATTAATTTGAGTAAAAAATGATAGTTCCTATCTAGTGCTAGACAGGTGGCATAAAAATAGCACACTGTAGTGTCACTGCGTTATTTTATTTCCCAGCTGAGCTTCATTATTTTTGGACTAATAGACTTACTGTAGTTTGCCAAGTTCCTTATCAGTAAGCTACTACGCATGTCCATCCACCCACATTCCTTCACACACTCTTTCCTTTGTTCTCTTGCCACGGGTGCCGGTTGCTGAAAGGCAGCTGGCCCAAATTACTTCCAAAATGTAACAATTAACTTTTCTTAGTTAGTGAAGTGTTTTATTTTCTTTATAACAAATAAATGAGTTTTATTAGAAACCTTCCTTCGCGTTTCTTTTTCGGAATATTGCAACAAGGAATAAGCCTCGATTCATCTCCTCTAATCTAAAACCAGGGTAATTAGTCCCATAGCCAAACATGGGATTAATAAATGCCCTGACATGTAGTTTCCTATCTGACTTATGAAACTATTTAACTTTCTGGACTTTCCTATCAAGTACTCTGGATAGCTAGAGTAAGTGAGCTACAGATAGGGTATTTAAGGAAATGTGAAAAACACAAGTACCAATAAAAAATCTGTCAGGGATAAGGAGAAAATGAAGTGTAACAGAGATGTGGTAAGCAATAGCTGGGAAAGCAGTACAAAAAAGGAAGATGTTTAATATAGGCATAAAGGAAAAAAATGGGGAAAAATAGTCACCAATAAACATGGTGAACTCCAACAACCTATTAGCCAAAAAATTACAAAGTTGGGAATACTGTTAGTAGCAAGATTTCACTCACTCAGCTTCCTCCTGATCCAGCCTCTCAGCCTCAATTTTGACCTTCTCAAAATCTTCAGTCAGTGCCTTGCGCTTTTGCTCTACTTCCTCCAATTCTTCAATTAACCTCTCTTCCTCGAGAGCAAATTCTTTCAGTTCCAACTGTAATTTCTCCTTGTCATCTTCAGTCATTTGCTCCAGGATTTCAAGACATTTCCTACAAAAAAACCCCAGTGATTTTATGGGGTGGCAATGAACCATACAAAACCCTTTAACTTCACTTTCTTTCACAATTATGCACCTGAAAACCCAGCCAGTAATCCCTGAGCATCAAATCTGTGTAGATATACAGGTAGTCCTTGACTTATAACAGTTCATTTAGTGACCGTAAGAAGTTACAACAGCACTGAAAAAAGTAACGCATGATCATTTTTCACACTTATGACATCATCCCCGCAGCATCCCCATAGTCGTGTGATTTACATTCAGATGCTTGGCAACTGGTTCATATTTGTGATGATTGCAGTGTCCCGAAGTCATGTAAACATCTTTTGCGACTTTCTGACAAGCAAAGTCAATGGGAAAGCCAGATTCATTTAACAAAATTACTAATTTAACAACTGCAGTGATTCACTTTACAAATGTAGCAAGAAAAGTCGTAAAATGGGGCAAAATTCACTTAACAAATTTTGCACTTAGCAATAGAAATTGTTGTCATAAATCGAGGACTACTTGTTATTTGTTCTATTTTAAAGTAGAAACTGAATTGCCACAGCTTGAGTACATACCTGTCTGAGACAAACATATGGTACCTTTTTCAGTAAAAAAAAAAAAAAAGGGTAAAACTATATTTCTTTATTCTGTCAAGAAGATATTGTAGCCCTTCTGAAATTTATTACTCACTTGTAGTTCTGGCATTCATTCTCTGTAATATTAAGCTGTGTGTCTAACTGGTCCAGAAGTGTATCAGTGCATTCTTCACATAGAGGATGATCCACATCTGTTTGGCCAGACATGATGTCAAACAGATCTCCAGTGACCTGTAAGGAAGGAAGAGCTCATTTTAGAAGAAGAAAACACTTCTACCATTTGTTAAATGAGACAGAAAGCTTTTGTCAAGCAAAACTACTATTCATTAGAGCTTTGCTTTGATAAAACAAAAAAAGGTTCAAAATTATTGTACTCTATTCTCCCAACCACTTTTTTCTAAACATTGATAATATATTCAAGAATAGGGGTCAACTTGCCTTGAGTCTTCTGCTGAGATTTTCCATGGTTCCTCCATCAGAGGCCTCTCCAATCAGAGTGAAACTGTTGGCACTTTCTGTTGACATCATCCTGAAAAATGCAGCACGATTTTGTTATAAACTGTGTTCTCATTGATCAGTGAAAATTAACTTTTTTGGCACCAAGTGCCGAAACTGCAGTGCGCATGCGCGCACCGGAGCCCAAAAGAGAGCAGCTGGCCATTGCGCATGTGCATGGCGGAACCTGGAAGAGTAGCTGGCAACAGAGGGCATGCCCACAGAGAGGTCTGATGTTAATTTTTTTTAACATCAAAAATTCTGATGTTAAACCATAGTAGTTTACATTTTGTTCCATAATTTCCAGTTCCTATAGTAAATAGGTTTTGCTCTATAAACTATATTTGACACAGAATCTACAATTTGCAGGCTTAAGCTACAAGGAAAAAAAATGTCTGAATTGTTAGAGATAGACAATAGAGTTAAAAAATAACAAAGTTGTGTTTGGATCCATTGCATCCAAGAATCACTTGGATTCAATTTAAAAGCCTCTTAGAAAACTATTCCTTTTCATTAGAATATACATTAGCTAGTTTATACAAGTTATCGAGAACCATGGCCAAATAAAAGTATTTTGCAGAATGGTTGCTCTGATCTGGAAAAAATTTTGGCAGGGATGAATGTATTAGTCCTATGGCAGAAATAATAGAGGGATACTTCGGTTTCATTACTGTGGGGGGCAAACATAACTAACTTTTTAAATTTTTGCAACCAAACAAACTAACCTTCCTGAATCTACTGGCCTCCTACTGTTGGACCAACTCCCCTAATTCCCAGACTTTTATAAAATTCCTTCTGAAAATTGTTGTTCTATAATAGGGAATCCAGTTCAAAATGAACTTATGTGACAACAATTGGGACCAGAACTTCTATCGCTAAGCAATTGTCAGGCATGGAAAATCAAAAACTAAACGTGTAAATGTTCAAATGATTTTTATTGCTGTTCACAAAAAGGCATAATCTTGCCAGTGTAAAGCATACTCTGCATACCTATCTGATAAATTCTGTAAAGAAATTAGGAAGGGTCTCTTCTGCATCACTTCCTACATAACAACAACTCAAGGCTGATATTTCACTTCACTCCTCCCTCCCATAACTCAGCACCAGATTCCACTACATCAATTGTTATTAAGTGAGTCACACTTAATGATTTTACAATTTTTCAACCTTTTTTGTCATAGTCATTAAGCAAATCCAGTTTTCCCCTTTGCTAGTTGGAAGCCCTTCAGGAAAGTTGCAAATGATAATCACGTGATCCTGAGATTCTGCAACCATGATAAATACATGATGGTTGTCAGGCTCTCACAGTTTGATCATGACTATAGGGATGCTGCATTGGTCATGAGTGCGAGAATCACTTGTAATTCATTTTTGTCAGTGCTGTCATAACCTTGAACTGAACCTTAACAAGTGGTCATAGGACTATTTGTGCTTCCTTTCAAAGGAAGGATGAAAGAACTAAAGTATATTTTGCTTTCAGTTCCTATAGGTAGGGAGAATACTTGCTTCTTTTATTATCTTTTGCTCTAGCTCTATCTTTTGCTCTATTTTTTGCTTTTATTAGCAGCTGAGTGTATGTGTGTGTGCATTTGTACATTCTCCATCCAAATTAAACCACAGAAAGACTTCAGTATCAGAATTTGGTTAAAATTTCCAGCCTCTGAAAGAATTGCATTTACTACAAATTAATAGAACAGAGAACATAATAATTAATACCTGGCTGGGGGAATGAATCTTCGGGACACTCCATCTTGGCGATTTTCAACAAACACTTCCTAAAAAGAAATTTAGCATTAGCATATTATGATTCCATACCAAAGAGAGCTAAATGTTTGATCCCATAAGCAGTTTTTAACAACCTGCCACTTTACAATGTACACGTTACAAGGAAAATTTAAAGGTTTTGCAGACTAAATGCCAAGAAAATAACAATTCCTAATAATCAATGAATAATAATGACAAAAGTTTGAGGGCAAAAGAAGAAAGGGACAACAGAGAATGAGGTGGCTGGATGGAGTCACTGAAGCAGTAGGTGGGAGCTTAAATGGACTCTAGAGCAGTGGTTCTCAACCTTCCTAATGCCGCGACCCTTTAATACAGTTCCTCATGTTGTGGTGACTCCCAACCAGGGGTGGGTTCTAAATTTTTTTACTACCGGTTCTGTGGGCGTGGCTTATTTTGTGGTGTGGCTTGGAGGCCATGTGACTGGGTAGGCGTGGCTAGCTGGTCATGTGACCAGGTGGCCATGGCTATGTGCATAGGGACTACTCAGAGGGCTGAAAAACGTCATTTCTGACAGGTCCTCGCACTTTTGACTGGTGCTCACACTTATGACCATCCTCACATTTATGCCTGTGCAGCATTCTTAACAACCATGTCACTCATTTCACAACTGCTTCTCTTCAACATGGTGATAAGATAGGGCAAAAAACGTAAAATGTGAGGATAGTCGTAAATTCAAGATCTGATCAAAAGTGCGAGGACCAGTCAAAAATTACTTTTTCAGCCCTCTGAGTAGTCCCTGTGCACAAAAGGACTACCCAAAGGGCTGAAAAAAGTGATTTCTGACAGGTCCTTGCACTTTTGACCGGTCTTCGCAGTTATGACTGGTCATCATTTATGCCCATTGTAGCATTCTTAACAACCATGTCACTCATTTCACAACTGCTTCTCTTCACCATGGTGACAAGATAGGGCAAAAGCGTAAATTGTGAGGACAGTCATAAATTCGAGGACTGGTCAAAAGTGCGAGGACCAGTCAAAAATAACTTTTTCAGCCCTCTGAGTAGTACATATGCATAAAAGGATACAGCAATAGAGAGGGATGAAGGAAGGGAAGGGAAATTAGAGTAGGAGTGAAGGTAAGAGAGGGAGGAAGAGAGGAGGAGAAGGAGAAAGGAAGAGGAAGTAGGGAGAAGAAGAAGAGGGGGGGAAGAGAAAGTAAGAAGGAAAGAAAAGACAGAGGTGGTAGGTTTGAGGAGAAAGATTGCTGTACAATAAAAAAGATGAAAGGGAAGAAAGCCAATCCCAAACAAATATAAAGATATTAAGATAAAGAATAAATTGTTAAACTTTAAAGAATAAAAGAGAACAAATAGCAATAATTAGAAACACACATACAAACATACAACGTATTTTCTTTGAACAGAGTATTTGGCCGGTTCACAAATTTAAACAGTTGTAGGAGGTTAGCACCCACCCCTTTCCTAGAAGAATGAAATATTTTGGGAAATATTAAAAAGGCAGAATATTATATTTCCCTGGATGAAAAATGGAGAAGCATATTTTACAGACAAAGCAGCTCCCACCTTCCTGTCCCCCACCCTTTGTTAATGGGCCAGAGGCAGAAAGTCAATCCTTTGTCAAAGGACATTTGCAACACAATAGCAACAGAAACTAACACAATGGGCCCCATCTAGCAACCGAAACTCACCACACCTGACCTGGGAAGCACATGTGACCATCAGCCAGCAAGGCTAGCTAAGACCCCCACCCCCTGGGAGTCTGACAACTAATCAGAATACTCTTTCGGGGCCCCAAGAAATGCAAAGCCAGAGAGGCCATAAAAACCCGAGGATTTACTGTATCTGCCCCTTTTCTGTTCAGGAATTCAAGCCATGTGATCCTGTCCACCATTAAACCATTTTTCCAAGCAGTCTCCATGTTTCCAGTGTCTTTTTCCCCACTTGGAGAAGAACCCAGAAGGATATTTCTTCCAACACAGTGTTTAGTCATTTCAATTAAATTTACAATTTCTATATTTCCTTTTTACCATATTTATTCCTCATCTATTTTTTTAAAAAACCAATATTACCCTTCATCCTCATCTCTAATCTTAATCAAATTCAATTTTTCCTTTCTATTCTATATTATACCCCTTCGCATTGTCATCTATTTTTATATCCATCCTCACATTGGTTAATTATGTAATTATGTAATACAATTGTTTAATACAAATTCAACATTTTAATATAAATCAATTAGTTATATAACTATCTTTTTTGTATATTAATCAATATGAACATGAATATTCCAATTATTTCCATGCAATCCAATTTCTTACAAATCAATTAATTATATTTACCAATAATAATAAACCAAATAATTTCCCCATATATTCCTCCAAACCACAACTTAACCATTTCTGCTTTCAACACAATATACAATTAATAGTATCTCAATTATTACAATTCCCTAGTTAAATAGAGCTTTTTTTCTTTTGTGTTTTAAAATCTTGAACTTCCTCATTTGCCCTAAATTTCCCATTGTTTGCAGTTTTGCACCTATCTTTTTTGGTGAGGAAAAAGAAATCTCTCTGCCTCATTTTGCCATGTTGCAGCAAAGACCCTGCTTTACTTTCAATTTCGCTTTTTCAGCATAGCTAGGGGGAAAAAAATCTGCTCCAGGAATTTACCTCTTTGCAGCTAGCTAGCAACAGAGCCCTCCGCAAAACAGCTGAGAGCAAATCAGCTGAGAGTCCGGAGGCTGATCAAATCAACTTATGGTAATTAACCTATGCTGAAGCTGTTTTTTTCTATTTTTGCAGGCACCGGTCTATTCATTTGTTTTCTTTTAACACTGATCAGCTGTAGGGTGGCTCTTTGAAGCCCCAGGGCAAGAATTTAAAGTTTTTTTCCCTCTAGCCATCAGCTGGGATTCCGGAGGCAGCAATAGATTGGGAGTGGGTGGGGTAAGCTAACGGCGAACCAACAGAGGCAGAGGGTGAGTGAAGGCGTGGGGGGGGGTGAGAGAGGGCTTTGGCGACCCCTGTGAAATGGCAGTTTGACCCCCAGGTTGAGAACCGCTGCTCTAGAGGATGGTGGAGGACAGGAAGGCCTGGAGGAACATTGTCCATGGGGTCGCAATGGGTCGGACATGACTTCACAACTAACAACAACAAATAATGACTGGTGTTTAACTTCTAATATGCATTACTTTTAATTTAGAATCATATGCTAACTTTACCTCAGTCAAAGGGGTTTCTTCTTCCTGTGCATCACTCAATTTTGTTGGAACAGTGGTAAGCAGAGGAGCTACACAAAAGATAAACAATTACCAAAGAAAAAAATAAAAATATTTGCATATAATGCTAAAACTCAGCAGAAAGATTACTATATCTGTCAATAATATTTTCCCTCTGAGCTTTTGCTTCCCAATTCCAAGGACATTCTGAAACAGAGTTCAGATTTGAGAACTGCCTCAGATTAAGTTCTTCCGAAATCCTTCATAACAATACTGTATTATTGAATGTTTCCAACAACCTTACATTCTACTTCCCTTGAATTTTCTCAGCAATTGACAAGTGTATGCATTCACAATATGGAATTTATGATTGCATTGGCTTTATGCATATTTTTTTACCTGTCAATTCCTGGATGGTGACTTTGTCAAGAACGTTGAAAGATGTGTCCAATTTAAGGGGCTGGCTACAACGCTGGCAAACAAAGCTGACCTGCATGGTACAAGCAGGTGACTTATATACATCCATATCTGGAAAGTAGAAAGATAGTCAATACAATGTTTCTAATACTTTGTAGGTTGGTATAAATTAATATTTTACAATTGCTATCCAGTTTGTGTTTTCTATCTATGTAGTTCTATTGTAAACATTCAGGAGTGGTTACTACTGTACTACGTACCTTCTCTCATGCAGCATGAATTGGATCGTTCTGCCATTATCATTACAGTGATCATCCATCTCCTCTGGCATTATCATGGGGAACATTAATCTATATATCCTATCTATGCATAGACCTTAACTCTATGCCTATGGCTCAGCACCAACTTGATGACACATATTGAATCAATCCAAGTAATAACATATGGTTTAATCACCACCATTTCAGGAGTAACTCCCAAGGAAATCAGCTAGGTTCTGATACTAAGTATATTTGGGGAAACAGGAACTGTCCAAACTAGGGTTGATAACAAAAATTAGTCAGGTACCAGTATCAGTTCAATCCTTAACATGATTTTGGTAGTGCAACTCCATTTTATGGAACGATACACATATTTATCTTTTTTTTTTTTTTTTTTTAAATTTGATTTATATGCCGCCCTTCTCCGGAGACTCAGGGCGGCTTACAGTGCGTTAAGCAATAGCCTTCATACTTTTGTATATTTATACAAAGTCAGCTTATTGCCCCCACAAACTGGGTCCTCATTTAACCTACCTTAGAAAGGATGGAAGGCTGAGTCAACCTTGAGCCTTGGAGAGATTCGAACCAGCAGTAAATTGCAGGCAGCTGTGTTAATAACAGGGTGCTTTAAACCACTGTAGTACCAAGGCTCGTGTTCATCATTCTTGCTCTCCATTTCTATTTATTTATTCATTATTTGTTTGTTTGTTTGCTTGCTTGCTTGCTTATCTTTGAGGTACTATGAATGCACCATCTGTTCTACTGCAGTGTCCTGACATTTACTACCTATAAAAAACAAAGCTTTAGTTTCCTTCTTCTGATCCAGTTTAGACTGAAGCTGGTAGCCAAATTATGGCTAGGAATACAAAAGGGTAAATTCCAATGATCTTTGTTGGAATCTACCTTGATTCCATCTAAGTCTCTCCATCGTTCTTACCTACCTCACGCCCAACAACGAACTAATGTGCTTGTTAAGTGGCCATAACCAGATTCCCTAACGATAGGCGGGATACCCAATCGATACGTATTTAAAGTTTCCCCCGGGAGCGAAGGAAATTGATCGGTAAAAAAAATCACCGCCAGGCCACCTTTCCCTCCCAACAACACACGGTTGACTTTCTCTTCCTCTGAAAGTGCTTTTTCCCAAGCAACCCCGCCGTCTCTCAAAACGGCTTCGCAGAAAGTTTTCTCTTCCGGAGAAATCGCACTCTTTGCTGACGCCCGTAGGAGGCGGAGAAACGGGACCGCCTTCTCGCTTTCCGTGGCATCAGAGAGGGGGCTTGTTCTGGACTGAGAAAGCTATTTGCAGAGATGCAAAGTCGGCGATGTCCTCCTTGCACGAATGGGAAACGCACATGATACATGTTACTGTTACGACCACCCCCATATTCACAGCAGAGAGGAAGCCCGCGAACTGGCTTCACTACAATGTTGGGGCTGCGAATCGGCTCTTTGCTGCCATCTACTGGCCACAGTAACGCAGCCAGATCCAATAACGCAAAAATACTTCAGTTTAAAGGCAGTACAATAATGAAAAAGAGAACCATGGAAGGTAGGCCATCTCTTAGGGGCAAAAGATACTAAAGAACAGACGGCTACAAAAGGAAATAATACCTAGGATTTTTACACAGCGGAAGATAACCTGTAAATTGCCGGAAAAAAGTCACTTCAAACGCGAACCATCCTCAACTTCCTACTTCTACGCTGATTGGCTCCACGTCAGTCACTTCACTTATTACTACCGAGCTCCACCCACACCAACCGGAAGTTGTTTCTTCAGCGCATGTGCACAGCACCGGATAAGGCCTGTCCGACGAAGGCACAAGGAACAATCACGTTGGCTAAAATCGCGTTCTGTGATTGGCCAAGAAAGGGCGGTGGCGAGGCGTTATGTTCTCACGTCCGGCGGTAACGAAGCCGGTGGTTTTTCAGGTGGTCGCGCGCGCGGGATAAAAGGAAACAGATCTGGCTTGGAAAATTGGCTTCCCCGCCCCGCTATGGCCTCTCTGCTCAAGGTGGACCCAGAAGTTAAGATCAAGGTACGGGAGGAGAAGGGGAAAATTCTAATAAGCCCGCCACGGGCGTGCTTTTAGGCATGTGCAGAGTGCTACAGAAGGTCAATCCAGACAGGCTTCCGCCACGGCGACTGTTTTTGCCAGTGGAGCGTAATCAGAGTATGATCGTTTTTGTACAGCGACAAGCCACAGATCCGTTGAACGCCACATGTTTGGATTAAGTGATCTGCCGTTGGGAGCTTTACTGGTACGGCGTCACTGGGCTTTTTCATTCGTCAGCCAGTCTGCTTATGAACCGAACATTCCTCTAGTTAGCCAGGTTGTTAGCCCAATAAACCCACGTCAGGCTGCTGTTTATTCTAATCGTGGGAGTCAAAACCCGCGAAGCGGTAACCCTTAACAGCTTCCCATGGCAATGAAAACAAGATGTTTGCGTTAGAATATAATATTTTTTTTTTATCTAGCCAGGTTATTGAATTCCACGAAAACCGTATGTTTCACACATTTCCTGGATGGGAAATTTATTTACCTTGAAAAGCACACCAATTTATATAATCTAGGAACATAATTCAAGAGTATTAAATTATTCAGCCATCATGCTACTTGCAATGGCTAGATGTGTAGCTTTATAGCAATATTTTTGATTTTAACAAACGTTCTGTAGGTTTTTATTCTATAAAGGCTGTATGAGGTAATTTACTACTATTTCAATATTGCACATATAAAGTTTTTTTTTTTAAAGTTACTGGGTAAAGTGGTAGTTCCATTTGATATCGACATTGTTACATGTATTCCACTAAGTCTTATAGTATTAAATAGGATTAGTTTAAATTACATTTAAAATAGTAATCTTCAGTATGTCTAGTATGCAGATTAGTAAGTAAGCAAAATTACATTTTGTTATTGTGAATAATTGCAAAAGAAAATAAAAATGCAGTAGTCGTAGTTGTATATATTTCAAAGGTAAATCCTGATATGTATAAAAGACTTGCACACAATAGTAATTGTATTCTGAGAACTATATATAACTTTATGCTTCAAAATCCTATTTAATTTATACATCACCTTTCTCACCATTTGAGTGATTCAATGGGTGAAAAATTTGCATAAAGTAAAATGGATTCCTTTTAGTGGCTGTAATAAGACAGCAGACTTTAGGCCGAATCAATTTGACCAGTGGTTTTGGATTTATATTTTAAGAAAGATATATAAATGTAATGTTAATTATGAATGCAGTTTTTAAAATTTTGTTTATAATTCAATCCTAAAAATTGCTCAAAAATAAGACTAATAGAATGTAATGAGCCTTATTGCCAGAAGTGTATTAAAGATGAACTCAAACCAGATTTTTTTTAAAAAAATGTTTAAAGTAACTTTAAAAAATACATTAAGAATGCTACAATTTCATTAAAGTCCATAGTTTTTACTTTTGTTCTACCATAGTAATTTTATTAAGGTGATACCCCATCACATTAATAAAATGAAATTTAAGTATTTAGTATTATTTTAATACATTTTGAAGAATATTAATATTGTTTATTTCTATTCAGCAATAAAATTAAAATTAATTTTGACATTATAAAATGCAATTCCAATTTTTTTAATATAAATAAGTACAGTAAGAAGCAAGTTCTACTGCATCATCTATATATCACACTATATTTTTCAATTATTTATGGGACCCCACCAGTTAAAGAATTCTGACTACAAGACCAGAAAATCTTGTTCTTCACAGTCTGAGTCCTTCAGGTGCTTTTTTGCAAACTCCAAGCTGGCTTTCATGTGCTTTGCACTGAGGAGAAGCTTCGGTCTAGCCACTCTGTCATAAAAGCCCAGATTGGTGGAGAGCTGCAATGATAGTTGTCTTTCTGGAACTGTGTCCCATCTCCCACAGAAGCTCAGTCAAAGTGACCATTGGGTTCTTGGTCACCTCTCTTACTAAGGCTTTCTCCCCCGATTGCTCAGTTTGATCAGGTGACCAGCTCCTGGAAGAGTCCTGGTTGTGCCAAACTTCTTTCAGTTGAGAATTATGGAGGCCATTGTGCTGTTAGGAATCTTCAATGCAGCAGAAATAATCCTGTCTCAGCTCTGAAGGCAGTTCCTTTGACCTCATGGCTTTTGCTCTGCTGCAGTATGCATTGTCAGCTGTGAGGCCTTCTATAGAGAGGTGTGTGTCTTTCCAAATCATATCCAATCAATTTAATTTACCACAGGTGGACTCCAATCAAGGTGTAGAATCATGTCAACAATGATCAAAAGAAATGGGAGGCGCCTGAACTAAATTTCACGTGTTGTTGCAAAGAGTCTGAATACTTAACGTTAATATGATATTTCAGTTTTTTCTTTTTAATAAATTTACAAATATTTCTAAAGCTGTTTTCACTTTGTCATTATGGGCTACTGAGTGTAGATTAATGAGAAAAAACAATTTCAATAACTATAGAATCAGGCTGCAGCATAACAAAATCGACAAAAGTGAAGGAGGTCTGAATACTAGGATAATGGTAAATAAAATTTATTGACATCTTCATTTGAGGTTCTGCTTGTTCTTGCTGCTGTTCTTAAATAAAAGGGGAAAGATGGGAACTGTACAAGTTAGCAGAAACTAAAAGAAGTTAACGTTAACAAAATATAAATCTAGGAACAGATTAAGAAAAATCAAATATAGTATTAAGAAGGGAAGTTCTAATAATAATTGTAAAAGTAGGAGACCTTGGTGACATCTGTTGAAAGAAATTTTGAGGGATAAGACACAATATGTGATAGAAGAATATATTGCAGCTTAAATGAAAAGATAGACTTTTGAATTGGGAAAAGTTCAAAAGAACTCAAATCAAATGAAGATAAATCAAGACATGATAGAAGAGTATGTTTCAGTTCTGTACATGTCAGTATAGCCACTCAGGTCAATGTGATGATATTTGGGTTAGTCTTTCTAGGATTTGGGGCTGAAAAGTCAGTCATTAAAATTTAATGCAAAACAAAAGCAAATCACATTGGAAAAAAGGGAATAAGTAATCAACCTAATTGAAAATTAAGGAGAAAAGTTGAGAATAATAATAAGCATGGCAACGTGCAAGAAGATAAATATCAGTAAAAATATTTTCAACATGGAAGAACGATAATTTGAATACTAGTTTAGGTAGAAACTAATGAATTTTTGAAATATTGGAGAATACTATCATTAGCTCAAGCAGAACAAATAAAGAGAAGAGCAAAAAAAAATGGTTCTCTTCCTGAAAGAATAATGTTGGTAACAAATATCTCACAAACTACAGATTTGTGAATATTTAAGTACTATTTTCTACAGACTGATTTTAAAATCCATCTTGGAGAGAAGTTGGGCAACATAAAAAATTGATTTTTTTTTCTTTTTACAACTTTGTAATCCTTTAATTCAGGGTTGTTGGAGTGACTGAACGGAGCTGGTTGGGTGATCTTCCTGATGCCTACATGGAGTTCACAGCAGATATTTTCTCTTTGTGCCCTTATGGAACTGTCTGTCATTGCCTGGGATTAAACTCTCAACCTTCCAAATGGGAGCCAAGCATCTTGACCTCTAGGCCACCACACCGCTTGGCATAAAAATTAATTTTTTTGTAAAAATAGGAGATAAAAGCAAGCATAACAGCAATGGTACAAAAATCAAACTAAGTAGGAAGGAAAAGTGATACATGTAGTCCTCAACTTACACTCATTCACTAAATGACTGATTGATGTTACAACAGTACTGAAAAAAGTCATTTAGGACCACTGCTCACATGACTGTTGCAATAGTCTCATATTCACATGACCAAATTCAGGTGATTGGCAAACTGGCTCATATTTATGATGGGTACAGCATTCTAGAATCACTTTTTGCCATTTATGATCATCTCAGTCAGCTTCTGATAAGCAAAATCAACGAGGGAAGCTGGATTTGCTTAATGACTATATGATTCATTGAATGACTAGTGATTTGCTTAACAAGTAGTTAAATTGGAAAGCCAGATTCACCTAACAACCGTGTTACTATCTTAACAATTGCAGTGATTCACTTAACAATGGTGGCAAAAAGTAAAATCAGCCATGCTTCATTTAACAACCCCCTTGCTTAGCAACAGCAATTCAGGTCTCAGTTGTGGTTGTAAGTTGAGGACTTACATGTATATGGTTCCAAAAACTGAAATTTTGAGAAGATGCTAGGCCCTAATGTATAGAAAATCATTAAAAATTATTTTAATCTAATACTCTTCTAAATTATATGTTGGTTTTCTCGTATCTAATTGTTTTATTAGATACGACTTATATTCTGTAACGATTCAAAAAGATCATTTGCAAGTAGATTT